GCTAATACGTGTTTTCTAGATCCGGAAACAGACAGTACAGAAAGAAGTTTTTTTTTTCCGGTCAGTACTCAATCTCCGAAACTTGAATACACTTTGTTGTAGTGACGCGTGAAAATTTTGGCAGGAAAATCGCTAACTCGGGAACCAGGCAAGATAGTGAGCTAAAATTTAGGACACTGTTTTCGAAGTTTGAACAGCTTTCACTTTTGCCTAAGACTTGTATTTGGACATGTGAAAATTCTGGCAAGGAATTTCAAAGCTCGGTACTAGACAGCAGTTAGACAATTTCTGTATATTTCAAATTGAAAAGCAGTTAACATTTTTAACAGCAGGCACGCGCTGATCAGATCTGCGCAAAGCGCATGATCGTATCAGTTACTCAGATGCGCACCGCTATTTATTCAATAACTTCACAGGCATATTTTTCCGATCCCAATTTTACTAACCGCCGGATTGCAGAATTCCTCTGCGATCTTTTTCCTTTAAATGAGTTCTAAACTGGCTGTAATTCATAGGTACTGGGGTGCACTGTTAAAATTTTTTGCCAAATTCAGTTTACAGCGTGAATGTTGCAAACCGGATTTCAGAATGTGGACGAGCATTTATTGAGCATCACTTGTGGACGGTTACTGGCAATCTAATAATGACTGCTAGCTCAGAAGCAATCATCAAAGGCGTTTTTCTGGAGCGAAAGGCCAGCATTGGCTAGGAGCAATCGACGTCGTCGCGCCAACAACACTGTTCTCTTGATGCCTGCGCGATCACTCCACCATTCACCATTTATGCATTTTTGCTTATATGCAAACTGCAACGACCCTGTCTGTATGTTTGTTTGTTTGTGTGGCTGTGTTGTGTATGTGTGTTCGTTTGTCCAGGTATTTCAACTCGGCAACCAAGCAAGCTCCGGCGCGAAAATTTTGTCAGTGAGTTCCCTGACCATGTACCACTCCGGGACCGCGGTACCAACCCTTACGCAAGCCTAATCCCCGAGTATGAGAGGGTGAAAGCTTTGGCGGGAAAACTGCTAACTAGGGAATGGGAAAAGCTAGAAAGCTGAAATTTTGCGATTATGTTCCCCGTCCACATAGAACCCAAAGATTTTAAATCCAGCCCCTGGGTGTGCATTGTTCCCGCGTACAGTCCCGTGAGGGTTCCTGACGC